ATACTGGAACGTCTTTCCTGGCGTGAATTTGCAAGCTCCTCATACTCTGGCTTTGTCACTTGCAGGACGTTGTAATGACGAAAAACCGCTTCTATTTGATACCACTCCTTGGTATGAGTCTCAGAAGAGCTTATCCATGGGATTTTCTCCAAGAAAGGAGCTCCAAATTCTTTGAGAATCCAAGACACGATCAGGGAAAGCCCGAAGAGACTGCAGTATGCAAGCCTAGCCGATTTGCTGGAAATCCCAGAGGCCACAGAACCGCACACGCCTCAGGTGGAAACGGCATAGCAAGACAAGCAGCACGACATCTCTCTCTATCGGCGTTGTTGATTATTCCGGGAAAGTGGCAATCATAGGGAAGGAAAGAAGAAAAGCGTTGAAATGTTGATGTTGCTGTCCTTCTCATTCTCGTTTATACTATTGTCCTTCTCACTGATGCTACTGTCCTTCCCGTTGATGCTGTTGTCAATCTTGTTGATGTTGCCGACGCCAGAGTCGACGATCAGCACCACCTTGAAAAGGTAGCCCAGTTCCTAACCTCCAGTTTGCCAGGAAGGAGAGCCGCTCCATTGATGTTGCACTCCTCGAAGAACAAGTGCATCAGATGCTACGCGAGTGGAAAGTTGAGCTAAATGAGCCCTTCTCGGCTTCTTCTTTTTAGTAGTAGCCCAGGGACGACGACGGGTGGTGCAACCCTCCCCGCACCCACTTCGACCTGGCTAAGAAAGGTTGGTTGGCTTTCTTGCTTTTATTTTCTGTGATCTGGGTTTTTTCTTATTTTCTGGAGTTTCTTTTTGTTTTCGTAGCTGTTGGATGGAAGAAGAAGATCACGAAAAGTAAGAATAATGAGAAGAGTTGTAAGGCAGCCATTTGATAGTACTGGAAGTTGTTTGCAGATTCACAGTGGAGGTGAAAAAAATGAAAGAGAACCGACATAGCTTTTCATGTCGTTCCTACAGACGGCGTCAAATGTTGTTGCACAAAACCGGAGGTCTTGGAACAACGTGAATCTGAACGTGAATCTGCAAGAAATGTAAATAACACAAGATGTATCGTGGTTCACCCCAATGTTTGGGCTATGTCCACACTGATATTGTATTTCTCTGAGAGGGAGAGAGAGAGAGAGCATGTATGTGAGAGTGAGGCTTTGGGGATCTTAGGCCTAAAATTGGCTTCCCCCAATGAGAAGAGTGAGGAGTCCTTTTATAGAATTAGGGCTCCTCACTTATTACATATTTGCCCCTCCATTTATTACATAATTACATTTGAGTCCTCCGAGTATTTATACGAGATCTAAATACGGAGGCCTTAAGTATGGTACAAACAATGGTCATGAACTTTGGCTTCTTGAGCATCGAGCTGTTGAGCCGGTCATGAGCTGTTGCCCCTTGATTATGTGTTGCTTAGCTGTTCTTCGAATCTTCGATCATTTGAGCTACGAGACCTACATCACAACATGATAAAGATCTGTGGGACATGAAAATCTTCAACTATTCACATCAAAAGTGTGTAGTTGTGTGAAAATTCATGAGTATCGAGGAATTATTTTACATGCTTATGTTGGAGAGAAAAACCAGATGGGTCAGAGAATTAGTTTACCCTCTTGCGCAGAAGAGTCGACACAGATGGATGTCGGGGAATTAGTTTACCCTCTCATGCTGGAGAGCTTATCAGATGGGTGTTGGGGAATTAGTTTACCCTCTCGCACTAGAGAGTAAACCCAGATGGGTGTTGAGGTATTAGTTTGCCCTTTCGTACTGGAGAGCTTACCTAGATGTGTGTCGAGGAATTAATTTAAACTTTCACCCTGAAGAGTTTACCTAGATGGTGATTGGTTTATCCTCTCGCGTTGGAGAGTAGACCCAACTGAAATAATCTTCAGCCTGTGTGAGTGTTTAGGGCTTGTATGCATAGCAAAAACTTAACAAAATTTGGTGGAGATGGAGGTATTTGTAAGAGGATGTGGTTGGCCATGAGGTAAAGGTTTTGCCTGCACATGGTAGCATCATATTGGCCAAGGTGTGTCATTTGTTGGATGAATGAGGAAATAATATCCCCAAGATAATAATTAGGAGAAAATATCTTGGGATAATGGTGGAAGTATCCCTAATTGATTGTGGTAGGGATTCCTTAATTATTTGAGTTGTTCTTTAATCATAAATGTATGAAAGATATGATTTGGTAATTAATCCTATCTTTAATACTTTAACTTTTCCATGCCACAAGCAAGGGATCCTTGAGCAGTCGTAGTCAGTTGCTTGAACCTTCAGGGATGCTGAGATGCACGTGGGAGTATTTAAGAGTCCTGCCCATTTAATAAGGGAAACCTTGCCTTTCTTGAGAAAAAGGTCCATGTGCAGTCTTCTGAATTTTTGGATCATTTTGTGGCTCCACAGGGATCTTTGAGAATGGTATCAACCGCATGAACAAAAGTTGTATCTCCTATCTAAGTGGGAATTGAAGGTGGTGGATGCCCATACAATGCCTAATAAGCGCCATTTGAATTGTGGCCTGGACAGTGGTGTGATAACACCATTCGGCCCATGGGAGCCAGTAAAGCCACGAAGATGGTTTGTCTGCCACATAGTAACGCAGGTAGTGCTCCATTGTGTGGTTAAGAACTTCGGATTGCGTATCTGTTGGGGGTGGTAAGCTACTAATCTAAACTATGGCATAATTTGGTACCTTGTGCAACAAAGAAAGAAGTCCATAAATTGCTCATGAATATCGGATCACAATCACTTACAATGGTTTTAGGCATACTATGCAAGTGATAAATTTCTAGGATAACAATCTCAGCTACCTTGGCGGTTGTGAATGGATGTGTGAGAGGAATGAAATACTCACATTTGGACAAGCAATCCACAACCACCAACAGGGTGTTTTCTCCTTGTGCCTTTAGAAGATCTTTCACAAAGTCCATGGGAATATCTTTCCAAATGTCAGAAGGAATTGGAAGTGGTTGAATGAGCCCTGGTCGTTTTTCGCCATAAATTTCTTCAGAGACTTTCTTAAGTCTAGGCCAATTGAAACTTGTCTTGATTTGAATGTAGGTTCAAAGTACCCTGGAACCGAAAAAAAAATTATATTAAGACCACCGGATATTAAAATTCTGCATCCCCATTACGTACACTGGAAGTGCCATATGTTTTGGGAGCTAAAGTACAACTAAGGAAGGCAATAGGGTAAGACTCCTTAGAGAGAGACTTGCTCCAATGCCTGCATCAGAGGAATCGCTTCCCCCCCCCCCCAAAAAAAAAAAACAGTTTCAAAAAGTCAAGCAATGCCAAAACAAGTGCGGTCGTCAAAGTTTTTTTTAAGTCTAAGAAGCTTGGGTTGCTGCAAGATTCCACTTAAAACCGTTCTTCAATAAGTCTGTCAACGGTTCATCAATTATACCAAAACTTTTCGCAAAGCAACAGTAGTATCTAGAAAGCCCAAAAATCCCCTTAGACCTTTAATTGTTGTCGACTGCGACCAGTGGTGGATCTAGGTGCAAATTTTTTTTACCAGAAATAGCATGCATATCATCATGTCATCGAGTCTTGGTAGGCCTAAAGTCATTTGGAAATGCATATTGCACACGTGTTAATGTATGCAACGGGCAGCACACAAGGTATCCATGGACATTCACCGAGTCTTGGTAGGCTTGAAGTCAGTTGAAGGGCATGTATGAAGTCAACTCTAATCTTCAAAAGAGCAGCACCTAAGGTATTCATGGACATTTACCGAAGTTTGGAGCATCAGCGCCTAAGGTATCTATGGACGTTCACAGAAGTTCGGGGGGTCAGCTGACCCCCATGCCCCTCAATGCATCTGCCACTGGTTGCGACCAAGGGAGAGAGAAGAGGAAGAGGGGAAGAGAGGTTGGAGGTGGCGACATAAGGGAGTGAGGGAGGCACACAGTAGGGATGGGGTTGGGTTTTGCCAACCCTAATTAATCTAAGTTAATAAAAAAGAATTCCTAATTAATCTAATTTTTTATTTTGAAACCTTTATTTAGTTATTTATTTTTATTTTAACAGTCGATATTATCTACACTAAGAGGGTGGATGAGTGGGCTAAGCTTCCAAATGGGCTAGCAATAATGTGGTTCAAATTCACCTTTGGCGAGAATCAAACCTAAGACTTTTCACTTACAAGTAAAGAGGAATACCTCTAGACTGTAATATTATTTGCCACATCGTATCCATCTGATAGACATTTTAGCAAAAATGGATCCTAGTTGTGCCAAGTCAACTATTTTAATAGAATTTTAAGGGGCAAAGTTAGAGATAATTCGAGTTTTAAGGGATTCATGACTGGTTTGGTATTGCTGTGCTTTGAAAAAAAACTGTTTCTGCTGTGATGTGAGAATAAACTCATTTTTGTTGCTTCACGTTTTCATCTTCTTTTTTTTTTCACTCAAAACTGTGAAAATAAGTTGTTTTTAACTGTTTACCAAACGCATTTTTAAGCTCAGTTTTTTTTATACCTATTTTTTATTATAAAAATACATCAGTACCAAATCAGTACTTAATTAAACATTTTAAGTCTTATAGGGTAAAATGAGAACAAGTTTGAGTTTCATGAGGCTGCCGTGGATAAGCTTACCCATTAAATAGAACAATTATAATTTAAGATCTTTTAGTTATCAATTCTAACAAAACTTTTAGCTAAATTCCATATTTTTATTTTTATTTTTTTGAAAAATAATAGGATAATCTATACCAAACTCATCTAAACTAGGGGTGAGAGATCCAAATACAGAACTTGAGTGTAAGGGCAAATGTTCTTAACCAATTGAGTAACAAACCATTTATGCTTCGTTTGGCAGCTCGGACTGTACTGCTTATTTCAGTCCAATATGATAAATAGTCGTGGAATATTACTACCTAAATTAGTCAGACGTTTGATGTTATATTGAATTAATTTATGTATCGGATAATAATAATTAAAAAAAATCACAATAATTGTTGTTAAAATGAAATAAAAAAGAAGAAGAGAAAAACAGAAAGAAAAAAAAAATTAAACATCATTGCAGACAAAATTTAAAAAATAAAAAATAAAAAAGGAAAAAAAAAAACCCAGGACTCTTCTCAATCACGCCTTCCTTTATTCACCATCTTCCCCGCGCATTAATCCCTCGGCGATCGATTGCAGAGAGTAGCGGCCAGGTCAAGAACTCGAAGCCTATATTCGAATTCCTGTCCCCCTCCTCGTCGCAGCCCAACTCCCTTCCTCATCGGAGCCCAGCTCCAAATTGCTATCCAACTCCTCGGCGGAGCCTAGCTCCCTTCCTCGTCGTCCTTCTCGTCGTCAGAGCCCAGATCGGAAGAATTTGAATCATTGTCTTCCTCCTTCACCCATGGAAAGTTTTGTTGTCAGAGATGAAAGGCGAACGGAGAGGTGGGAGTTGTGTGCGCAAATGATGGAGGAAGAGAGAGAGAAAAAGAAGATGGCAACGAAGACGAACCTGGAAGCAGACGAGAGATAGCAGGCGATGCGAGAGAGTTAAAGGAGAGTGTTGCGAGAGAGGGACGGAGTGAGTGAGCCAGCGTAAGCGAGAGAGATGCACTCGGCTAATCATACGGTGTCGCGTGCCAAACGAGGTATTATAGATTGAAAAGTCAACCAAAACAATTTTATAAATGCTAGCATTCTAAAAATTTCATTTTGCATCTTCAAATTTTCTAGAATTAAAAAAATACACTTGTAATAAGTGTATAATGAGTTTTTAGAGTTTTAATATCAGTTCCCTAATTTAATATAATTACATAATTGTCCCTCGATTCTAACACATTTTCCAACAAGCCAACTTTTCTGATGGCTAGCCAATCAAATTTTTCCAGTCAAAAGGTCACTATTTAATAGTTACCTTTAGAAAAATATGTTGAGTGTTGAATTTTCTCATAAGTTCTTTAATATATTTGTATACATGGTAAAAAAAAATTAATGAACTTAGATAATTGAAGGTAAATATGTCACTGTTGAACAATGACTTGATTCATTAGTGGCGGATGACAATTTCCAGCATTAGCGTCGATGACTCATGAGATTATGTGCAAGGCCAAAAACGTAAATGTACTCATAATTGTAGCTTAATACAAATAGAATTAGTTGGGCTTGGTAATGTTTCTCAAAATTAGTATTTTTCCTTTATATCTATATAATAAATGGTATAATCTGAATTTGCTCTAATATTTGTAGTCCAAAGTATGATACAAAATAGTTTTAAAATGACATGTATTATATTTTTAAAAGGTACAGTCCATTCTAAGCAGACACTAACATAGGACAATGTTTCTCATGCATTATCCAACTTATCAGTTTTATACTATACATAACGCTTCATTATTTTTATATGATTGATTTCATGTCAAGCCGAATACAACTTAGCATTTAAAACTAGTTTGAGACAGTTTTGTCTTAGGAACATGCATAACCTTACACTTGCACTTTTGGAAGTATGGGCCGCTTTGTTTTTTTTTTTTTGAGCAAAGATACTTCTTCATTAACAACGAAAGAGAATACAAGCCAAGATCAACTGCCAACCGCAGGACCAGAGAGAAATAAAGTATAACAAAGGAGAGGCAGGGAACTTAAGGACAGATAGAGGAGACTACTAGCGTAGCTGAGTCACTATCCTTAAGAACCATGCATCCAAGGCTAAGTCAGTGTGGGCAAGGGAGTCCATCAATGGAAATGATATGGACTAGAGCATATGGGGGATTGGAACCCAGACTTTTAGACACATCCCTCTTCTACACTGTAAGGCGACCAATCAGCCATTTAGGCCAGCTCCATTTAGGCCATCTCTAGGAGATGGCTATAGGGCAAAACTCATTCTGAAATGCTCCAAAACCCAACTCTAATGAATGGCTGGGCCAAAAAAATAAAAAGGACCCACCAAGTCAAGTTTAGCCCTTTGCCCATCGAGCTGGCCATTCTTAGTCAGCCATGTAGCTTGTTTGAGGGGGCCCTTTTTTTTCTAAGGCCAAAATTTTAAATTAAAAAAAAAAAAACTTCTAATTTTTTTTTCCCAATAAATACCTAAGCCATTTCCACACCATTTCTCACTCCTTTTCATTTTTTTTTTCTAAGTTCTAGATCATCCCTTTCCCGCAATGGATCCTGAGGGAAAATGTTGCTAAATTTATACCGTCCGCTATTTCATATATGATTATGGGTCGAACCAAAACAAAATAACTACCTAAAAATGTAAACGGGGCTTTTATTAATTTAATTGGGTTTAAGGAATTTATATAGTGATAATAATTTATAAAACCCTCATGGAGTTAGTGGGCTGGCACAAGCACTGGATCGAAATCGCGCCGATATGTATTCTTGTCATCAGCCACTTGCTCGACCATTCATTTACTGAGCTATTTTTAGAAATTGGAATAGTTTCTCGCTATATGAGCGTGAAAGTTCAACGATCAAAAAGATGCCTTCTTGAGTTAAAAGCTCGTTTATTCTTTTGGCTCACATCTCTTTCATAAACACCACTTCCTTACCTCTTCCAATAATCTAAATTTAAAATTTTCAATAGTTTTTCAAATGGCCACATCTTCAACCAAGGGATAAGAAATCTAGAGGCTTTTTCATATAGTGACAAGTTGCACTCAAAATATGTCCAAACTCTTTATTTTAATATGGTAGTTTAATTCAGTTAACCAATAAAATTAAAGAACAAACTTAAAATAATAAATTATTGAGGGGACTGAAAAATAGCCCCCTTTGGTTATAGATGGTATATAAATATGGTCTGACACTGTTCATTAAAAAATAATTTTTTACAGGGCTATAATCTGGACGAGAGCTAAATATAGCTCATTCGATTGGAGATAGCCTTAGAGAAGCTGAAGAGGTATCGCAGGTTCCAAATCTGGTGGAGTAACGGAAAGATAGACCAAGAGACTGTTGGAAATGTGCCCTAAAACCAATCATATGATGATACTTTACAGACATTTCACATGTTAAACTAATCTAGTTTAATATCAAGGGCAAAGATTATTGTTTTAAGCCGTCTCATATAAATGTTATATGCTTAAACGATAAGTCCAAGGAATATGTAATTAGGAGAATGTAATTTAAACAAGTTAGATTTATGAGACCATTCTCTTTCGTATACATATCCTAAATGTTCCTGATCATAGGATTGTCAATTGGGCATTGATAGTCCGTTAAGATCAGTACGTGCTGTGTCTTCTCTCATGGAGAGTGACTGGTCTCGAGTCATTGGTGTGATTGACACCAAGACAAGCATGTAGGTGCTCAATAGCGAATGAGTCCACTGAACACGATCAACGAGGAGTTCTCATACTCATGTCACATGAGAACTCATGGTTAGGATAATGCAAAGTAGTCCTTTGACCTGAGACATCATAATTGTCTTGTGGTTAAGTCCTTGATCTTTGACTATGTCAAAGTCACTCCGTTAGAGGGTGTCCACGGCATAGTTGGGGTTAAGCCACTTAGCCATGGAGGCAAGTGAATGCGGAACAAGGGATCTCTAACCTTCAAATCGTTTGAAGGAGAATACTCTATGATATGATTAAGAATCTCTGGCCAGAGTATGAATGAGATTTAGGAAGTCATTCCAAATCACATTCAAGGTAATCATATAAGTAAATGAATCACATTGGATATTAGACATGATTAAACTATCAATCCAAACAATGTGGTCAAGAGTATTGTATTAGAGAAAGACCGTATTGCATTGTAATCTTAAACTGAATAGGTTCTCCACCTCTTCTGATTAGCTTGGGTAACCATGACATACTGCTAGGTGTCACTCATGGTTTGTGGAAGCCCTAAACGTGTATAATCACTAAAGGGAGAATTGAAAGTAAGTTTCAATTCACAATCGATTTGAAAGAGTTCTAATCGCCCACTGCCTCGCTAAAAGGAACCTAATGGATCGTACACCGTGTAAGGTAAAGATTGAAGAAACAACGGAGATGAGTAAGGATAATTAAATGGTTTAATTATTTATGGCAAGGATTAATTAATATGTTAATTAATCAAACGAATAAAGTTCGTTATAGACCTCGGGTTAGTTTTGGGCCTCAAGGCCCAATGAGCTTCGAACGTCAAGCCCATTGACTTAAGTTGTATGACAACTTAATGACTAAATATTCACAAAGGCCCAAATAGCCCAATAGCACCCTATGGCCGGCCATATTGATAAAGGAGTGGGTTTTGGACTTATTACAAGTTTGCCACTCCAATGAAGGTAGGTATAAATATGACTTTATAGCCTTTTCTTCATTAGGGTTTCTTTTGGGAGAAAAGATGAGAACAAAAGCTCTTTTTGCTCTCTAAGAGGCCGGCCACCCTAGAGGAACATAGCTAGCAATCTTACTTCCTCTAGGTCACTCATTTCTTCATCAATCCTTCCTTGGTGTGGGGACTTAGAGGTTCTCAACTTTAAGAACTTGGAGAAACCAATTCTTCCATCCAAATCCATGGAGCTAAGAAGCAAGGAATGAAGGCCCTATCTCTTGGGTGATTATCCTTTGCTTATGCAAAGAGGAATCAACAAAAGTATAAATTTCTCAACTCACTTTGTTTTGAGTTGAGTCTTGGTTCACCTAACTACTAGGCTTTGAATTTCATGGGTAATGTTTTGTTTTGAGTGCATGCAAGCATGATTCCGCCTTTAATTTGTTAATTGCATGCTATAGATGTTGCTCAAATGAGCATATTTTTCACAAAATTTCCTTTAGAGACATTCTTCTTAGTCCCACTGATGAAACGTACCAGGGATGCTGAATCATACTAAAAAAGAACCTTCTATTATAGATGTAGGTGTGAGTTTAGCCTTGCGACGCGTGCATTCAACATCATTTTTATTTTGAAGAATAAGATGATTTATTAAACATTATAAGACAGTACATAGGATAGCATAATATCTATTTAAAATTCAAACATGAATATCAAGAATTAAAGTAGCGTCTTGATTAAAAGACATGCTATCTGATTACCATATCACAGGGGATAAAACACAAATAGTTTGAAAAATATCAACACAACTAACTATAAATTACAAAGTCTTCCAAAAGAAAACCACTTGAGACAAAACTTTTATGATGAAAAAAATAGGGCACACATGAAGCAACGTAAACCAGATTTATCTTTAGTCTGCACCACCACCGTGATAGCAACATCGGTAACATCTTCAACCTCATAACACATCAACCTATAAACCCGATGATGAACATTGTTTATACCATATTTAGAGCCTCCGTATTTAGATCTCGTACAAATACTCAGAGGACTTAAATGTAATTATGGGATAAAGGAAGGGGAAAATATGTAATAAGTGAAGAGTCATTATTCTATAAAAGGACCACTCACCCTCACAATGAGAGGAGGCCAATTCCTAAGGCTCCTCATCCTCTCAAAGCTCTCACTCTCATTCTGAGCTCTCTCCCTCAGAAATACAATCAGTGTGGACGTAGCCCAAACCTTGGGGTGAACCACGATACATCTTGTGTTATTTACATTTCATGTAAATTCACGGTCGAATTTACGTTGTACCAAAACCTCCGGTTTTGTGCATCAACATTTGGCGCCGTCTGTGGGAAATGACACAAAAAACTATGTCGGTTTC